CTGCCCCTGGGCTGGCACCGGGCACGCGGGGTGAGGAGCAGGCGCAGAGAAGATCCAAAAAGATTTTCAGGCATCTATACGTAGCAGACAACTTCACCGCTGCAGACAGGGGGTGTAACAGCCAGTTCTGTTTCCTGAACTCAAACGCACGTAAAAGCTTTACGCTGTCAAAAGTAAGTAGGAGACATTTCCTGCGAACATGAGTCACGCTCACCATTTATTTAGTTAGAAGAGCCGCAATGTTAACCCATCACGCGGGTCAAACATTTCCTCAGGCTGGGCGGGCTTCGGCAGCTTGCTTTAGCCTTGATCATGCCTGGACCTTAAAAAGCACTTGAAGGCATAAGGATAATGGCAATGTAACTTACTCCTTTGTTGTGCCTCAAGTGAGCCAAGGTGGAACTGCCAAACAACAGCGTCGATGAGACCGCAGTCTACTTGACATAATAAGGATACCGGTACAATAAAGATGTGGGCTTACCCAACGGGGAGTAGTCAGTGACCGGGCTTAGTCAATGATAACGAGAAGTGGCTAAAAGCAAAGCAATCATTCCAGCTGCAAAGTAACCAGGAGGACAAATTAGCCAGCCTCCATCTAACTTTCTTCTTTGAAAACCAGGAAAGATCAGGAAGGTTTCCAGTTTTCACAACGCAATGGCACGTGGAGACCTTTAGGCGCACCTGAAAATTCCAGACCTCATGTCTAGGTGCAAACTCATCTCGTACATTCTAAGAAATGCTCTCAGGAGCAAGTTCAAGATCCCAACAGTACTTGCCCCATCCACAGCACTGCCCCGGAAGCGCAGGCTGTTGGCTGTGCCAGGATCAGCCCGTGTTCTTACACCCGGGCTCTCGAGAGGTTCTTTGGTTGCTTTTAACCTGAACGTGAGCTATATAAAAAAAAGCGGTTTGTCTAGTGCATTGAACTGTTTGGCAAGGCAACAATCAAGAGGAATTTTTCTGTGTCCACTAAAAAGAAGGTTAAAAATCTTCTGCAAAGACAGTCTTTAAGAAGACTCGCACGTTTCTTTTAGGCACAGATACGGACATGTGAGCACCTCTCGCCTGATGTTGTAAATGACCTTACAGATTAGCAAGTGACCCAACTGATTAGCAAGACCAAGGCAGCACCAGAATACATCAATACGGAAGCCAAAAACCCCGTATGACATTTTCTATTTTGGAGTAGCAATTCTTTGTTCAGTATGGTTTTAAACTTTTGGGACGGAATGGTCAGGGTGTCTTAGAGGAACAGAGCTCGGTTAAAACGCAGCGGCAAGGTAGGAAATATAAAACATCCCCCTTTTCCTACCATGACAGCCTGCAAGTTCTACAGGACTGCACCATACCTTGCCACCACCGGGCACCTACACCTAGGGATGGTTACGCACATGAGTTACCCCCAAAATCTGCGCATCGTAGTCTAGGAACTTTAAATTAAAAACATACCAACAAGTTAGTTGCAAGCAGAGTGGTGCAAAAGTGGGTGAAGAGTTTTCCATGAACGTGCATTTCAAATTATGGAGCAAAGGGGAGGGAAGATGCTGATGACAGAAAATAAATACTAAAATACTAGTCGCAGAAAGTACGATAAAGAGACAGAGCCTGGGCTGAGCGCCCTGATCGGCACATTTCGCACCAAGCAAGTTGCAATAGAGAGATGTTTCACGTAAATACATGTGTGGTACACCAATAAAACACCTACTAGAGCATGCCATGAACAGCTGAGCAGTCAAACACACGAGAGACACAGGAGCTAAATGTGAATGACCTTCTTGGGGACCCAAAAGCAAAGCCCCTTTGGCAGCAGAGGTCTCTGAGAGAAGCCGGGCGGATGAGCCGGCATGGTGCAGAGTGCCGCTGGTCGCCAAACCCGCTGTCGCACCGCCGCGCCATACTGCTGTCGGCAGAACGCACTGACCTTCTGAAAGCCTAAGAAAAGCCTGACAGCATTTTCTTCGAAATACCTTTCAATTCCCACCTGCTCTTTCAGAGACAGAACTCCAAACCCACACCAACTACTTTCAGCGTGTGATGAGTGGCAATGAGGCACTGCTCGATTCCTCCCTGTTTAATATTTGCACCTAATTCTCGTTCTCTGTATTGTATGTGGTTGTTCTTGTTCTTCTCAAAGCCTTTTAAGTTCCAAGAACGTGCGAACACAAAGCACAAATAGGAACTGGAGAAGCTGAGAGATGTTGAATAACAGGCAGAGCGCCGGAGGGGAACGGAGCTGCTCTTTCATCCTCAGCCCGCAGCGTCAAAAACCTCAACATTCACTATGCAACACGCCAGCTCGTAAGGGTTTCCTTAGTATTAAAAAGGGAGGGAAAAACGTACAAGCAAATGGATTAAACTACACAATAATTATCCACAGATGGACCGACCATATTATCAAGATGGAGGGGAATCCTCGGATAAGTCAAAATACGTCCGGTCGAGAGAACTGCCTTCAAACTGCATTAACTGCAACCAGCAGGAGGAGGAAACCAGTATGAGACATCGGCACAATTCAGCAATTACTCAGAAAGAAATAGGACTCAAACTTTAAACACAAGTTGAATGGACAGGTGAGCCTTAATAACAACTTCAAACATTAACGTCATATGAGAATTTCTATTAACATTTCACGTCCGACAGTACCTTACCTACTGACGTGGAGCTCAGACTTGTTGCCACTTAATCAGTACAAACTCTGTCCCTGGTTTAAGGAAGGAAAAAACAAGAGTTTTGCAACATTTCTTGATGAGACCACTTCGTGGCTGAGTTCTGTCCTCCTCGATGAAACCACTCGTGCGCTGCTCTTTGCAGAGAAACTATGTTGAACGACTGATGGCCTAAAACATTTAAACGCTTTCTTTTCAAACAGCTCAGTCAAAACTGCCTCTTTCAAAAGCTGCCGTAGGCTACAGTTACCTGGAACGGGTTTGTGAACACTCAACAGGGGGTACTGTACCTTCTCTGTGGACATCAGGGAGCGTATCGGTGGGATGCTGCACTACAGCCGATCGCCTGTACACCATGTGGATTCTTCCCTTTTCCTCTTCCATTTGCTTTCCTCTTTCCAAAGGCTCAATGAAGTATTCATCCTTATCAGTTCTTATCATTCCAGCCTGGTGAGGAAGAGAGAAAACACGCCCGTATGTCATTCCAGAGCCCAAAGACCCGGCCCCATGCTTTCAAAACAAGTAGCAAGAGGGGTGAAGCGTAAAACACTCCACATATTACTGTGCTGTATGACTCAAATTACCGCCGGGTTTTCTTTGTGTGGACTTCTTGCCAGAGGTGATACCCCTCTGTGCTCCGGGGATGTCCATCTGGCTGTTCAAAGGCATTAAGAGAAGATGTTGCATAGGCAGGAGATGCGTTACCCCTTAAAAACACAACTAAGAGTGGAGCCATATAAGAGTTTACCATTTGTATGTAGATATCGACAATTCTTCAAACCCCTGCCTCTTCACGTCTTCTGCCCATCAAAGAGGTCTGCAGGCAAGACAGCTTGATCCTGCTTATGACCACAATTAAACTCACACCTCATTAAAGTCACACCTGCCTAAATCTGTTGTAAGGGAAGAGAGACTCGCGCTCAGGAGGAAAAATGTCATAGCTGGCACTCGAATATAAAGCCCAGTAAATAATGGCGAGGGAAATCTGGTGATACACTCAGAGATAATCAGTACAAACTCTGTCCCTGGTTTAAGGAAGGAAAAAACAAGAGTTTTGCAACATTTCTTGATGAGACCACTTCGTGGCTGAGTTCTGTCCTCCTCGATGAAACCACTCGTGCGCTGCTCTTTGCAGAGAAACTATGTTGAACGACTGATGGCCTAAAACATTTAAACGCTTTCTTTTCAAACAGCTCAGTCAAAACTGCCTCTTTCAAAAGCTGCCGTAGGCTACAGTTACCTGGAACGGGTTTGTGAACACTCAACAGGGGGTACTGTACCTTCTCTGTGGACATCAGGGAGCGTATCGGTGGGATGCTGCACTACAGCCGATCGCCTGTACACCATGTGGATTCTTCCCTTTTCCTCTTCCATTTGCTTTCCTCTTTCCAAAGGCTCAATGAAGTATTCATCCTTATCAGTTCTTATCATTCCAGCCTGGTGAGGAAGAGAGAAAACACGCCCGTATGTCATTCCAGAGCCCAAAGACCCGGCCCCATGCTTTCAAAACAAGTAGCAAGAGGGGTGAAGCGTAAAACACTCCACATATTACTGTGCTGTATGACTCAAATTACCACCGGGTTTCCTTTGTGTGAACTTCTTGCCAGAGGTGATACCCCTCTGCGCTCCGGGGATGTCCATCTGGCTGTTCAAAGGCATTAAGAGAAGATGTTGCATAGGCAGGAGATGCGTTACCCCTTAAAAACACAACTAAGAGTGGAGCCATATAAGAGTTTACCATTTGTATGTAGATATCGACAATTCTTCAAACCCCTGCCTCTTGACGTCTTCTGCCCATCAAAGAGGTCTGCAGGCAAGACAGCTTGATCCTGCTCATGACCACAATCAAACTCACTGCAGTAAGTCACACCTGCCTAAATCCGTTGTAAGGGAAGAGAGACTCGCGCTCAGGAGGAAAAATGTCATAGCTGGCACTCGAATATAAAGCCCAGTAAATAATGGCGAGGGAAATCTGGTGATACACTCAAGAGATAGTCACTTAAACCCCCTGCTGATATCTAAGGGCAGCAAGACTTCAGCGCAGCCAGCGAAAGCGCGACCATCGTGTCGGGGAAAAATGCATATGGAATATTTAATAATACTGGAAAACACCAATGGGATATGTATTTTGAGGGATCTACAATTTGTCATCAAAGCCATGAACGTACAAAACATGAATGTTTGTATAAAATGTGGCAGAGCAACTACTAACGAGCATCATCCTCGTACGTACGTTACTCTCCTTCTCCCAAGTGAGCGATACGGGGACGGTTCGCGGCGCGCTCCCCTGTCCCTGTCCCGCTGAGGTCCTGCACGCATCGCTCCTTGGGCAGGATACATCTCTGCCTACAGCTGCCGCCGGCTCGCTGCCCGCCGTGGGATGCACTGGGTTTTCCAAAAACCCAAAGGAAAGCCGGCAAGAGAGCTCAGCGGTCGCAACGTCGTAACTGAAGACTTCACTACGTGTAAGGTGGGAATGACAGTTCTGGCTTTGACTGCGACCAGAGACGCACACAAAGTAGGAACCACAAAAAACCCCCAATAAATTAAACCAAAAGCCAAAAGAGATGACCCTGACAGTTCTGCAAACCACTCCAGGGTCTCCCCAGCCCCGCTCCAGCTTTGAATGCCATCAAACTTATTTATGGCAATGCTACACAGATTTTTATTTTCAACGTATGGAGATTACCACAGTCCAAGCTTTGATAATCTGTCAACTACAAGTAGAGCGTATTGTGAAGGTACATGACAGAGAATCAAAAATTTGTATTTTAATAAAAATACTCCAAATGTCACCAAGAGTATTTCACCGCAAGCCTTCCAGGCTCTCTGTGTTTTCTGATGTCCGCACTCAAATTTCCAGTCAATGAATTTCTTCAAATATCGGCTAAATGACACAAATATAAATACTCCATTCTTCCTTTGTTTTCGTCAAGTGAGTCGCAGCAACAAGTGAGATTTTTGGTTGGAATAGTTGAGGTTGGCCTCACAAGTCAGTTTTTTATATAGCCAGGACGCATCATTAGACTGGGAATTAACCAGTCCCCTTCGCATGTTAACACCTCATGTCCTTGCCATTTTTCTGAGCAAAACCAAGTTTCGTACCTACAGTTGCTATGTTATTGGTGCATAAAGATTTTTTTGTAAATGCCCCATTTTCTGTGAAACTGTTGCCTGTGAGTTGAAAGTAGGTCTATCTGAAAGAAAGGCGCAGTGCGAAAGCGAAGTGTGGCTTCACTTTCCAGCTTCAACATGTACGCTTTGTCCTCTCTGCGTTAAACCTACAAAGGAAGAGCCGCAATTGTATTTTTGAGAATGTGTGTGCATTGCTGTAAAAGGAATATAAGAATAATCTGCAAGAATCGTGTCGTTTCCATTTTCACGACTCTCTGTAAAACACTTGGACAGACCTAACACATTCCACCCCTCTCATGCCACAACTCGTTGTCTGCTCCTCAAAAGTTTCCTAACTTCTCTGAGGCTGATAACCCAGCCGTGTTAATATGAGACAGAAACACATTTTAGAAGTCTAATTACTCATTAAGAGTAACGGTACCTCCCTACCTTTTGTTCATCTTCCTGGCAGTGGCTAACCCCACCGATTTCGGCAGATTTGAACTGCATGGAGGGGATTTCCGCTCATAGTCATGACCAAACGTGACACAACCTCTCCGCAAAATTCGCAAGTGGAGATGGAAGGTTGTATTTCCAATGGGTCATCACCAACATGGGGTTCCTGGAGAGCAACACCTCCTGCAGTCCCAGTGTGAGCTCCAGCGCGGGTCACAACCTCCCCAGCACAGCGGAGAAGTTCATGAAAAGTCCTCAAAGTCAAAGGGCTCCGCAGGTGCACACAATCGAGCACACATGGTGATGTGCTCTTCGGAAGACGAGGAGTCCCCACCGTCCCAAGGAAAAGGAAGATGGACAACGGAGAGCAGGCAAGTGCGGATTCGGAGCCAAAGCACCAAAGCTGAAGGGCTGAGGAAGGAAAAAAATCCCTCCCACACCTTTCAGCCTCGTGTTACTCTGCGCTTCATTTGCAGCGATGGTACAACATGTGTAGAACCTGAATTCGTTTCACATGCTTTGAACCATTAATTTGCCCACGTTTTTGGGAGACTGACCCTTGCTTTGCTTCACCGCTACAGTAAATGGTACAAATATTAACACGCTCTGTCCAACGCTGAATACATAAGAGTTAAAATTACTATAGCGAGGTTATTTTACAAAGCACATTGTAAATGACAGCAGACGAATGGTTATTAATACTGAATTTCTTTTCCTATTATTGAAAAATGAGATTTAGAATCAACAGGGACCTTTTTGGCCCATCTTAATGAATGCAGAATCCAGCCCGCTTTCCATTCAGACTTCCCCTCCCACACACACATTTCATCAATAAAAAGAGCTTCACATTTTCCAAATAAATGGAGAAAGAGGTGCATAGGCAGGTACGGCATCTTCAAGTGCATCTTTGCTGTGAACCCTACTGCCAACCCAGCACTTCTTCCCCACCACCGCGGAGAAAGCAAGCAGGTGTTTAGAGCGCGTATTTCTAAAGCCTCACTTGGAGAGAAGACTGCGGTGGATTTTCAAGAAAGAAGTATGTAGTGGAAATATTTTTATTTTTTTTTCCACAAAAGCACATTTACGGAGCACTACAGGAAAAGTGGACTCTGAAATCCTGGAATGCTATTAATTTTACCACTTTTTCTTAAAATTTAACAACGTTCGAAGTTTCCATCGCCCGCAGGATGCAGTTTGAAATCTGTGCTTCTGCGAAGTTTATTTTTGTCCTTATTATCCTGCAAATATGAAAACGGGAACACGCCTAAAACTACCGAAAGCCAAAAGCAGCTTTTGCGGCGCGGCGGCTGGGAAGAAACCCGCCAGTTGCCGGCACCATTTCAACCCTGACCGGGGCTCGGGGGCGGCGGATTCCCTTCTCACCTTCCCCGCAGACGCGCTTTGCCCGTTTTCGAGGGGTGTCGCAGGAGAAACCCACTGCGGGGATGTTTTAGCCCCTTGTGCGCTCCCCCTCCCCTCGCTGCCTGACATTTGTAATTGTCTTTAATCGACGCACAAGCCTTAATGCGTTCCGTCCCTCCAGCTCTTTTCATCCTCCTCCATGCAGGAGTAACGGCGCACGGTAAACCGAGGGAAAACCTTTCCGCTGAATTAAACCCACGCCGGAGCGAGTCCTGCCTGAGTCTGGAATAAAAGGTAACTGGGAGCAATGCCAAACCCAGTCTGGCAGAGGCAGCCCACCTAGGAGGACTCCCCAGAGGATGGCAAACGCTGCTTTCTTCACTGGGCAATCCCCTGATAAAGCAAAACCTGGAAAAAAACCCATTTATTTATTTTTTTTTTCCCCAAATGCTAAAAGACGCAGGCAATAATAAGGGAACTACAAACAATATAAAGCCTTGAGAAAATAACCGAGAAGGGCAGGTTAAACTAAGGAATCACTCACTGAGCCAAAGTCAACAGCATTTAAGGGGGAAGGCGATTCCGTATAAATAGGCATGGGGTAGGAGGTGCAGGAGAGGAAAGAACCGCTCATTCAGCGAGCACAACAGACAACTGTGGAGTCACCGGTAAGAATGGGCGCATTTAACGTCCACGTTCCGGTCAACATTCCGGCTGGGATTCTCAAAAGTATTTTAGGAAGTTCAACGCCCCGTTTTCCAGCGGTTTGCAATGAGGGCAAGTCGCTTAATTCTCAGGTGTGTTTTGAAAAGCCCACCCTCAACTCACACCACTGGCCATTATCCAGTCAAGCGCCGCTAACACTTGCCGCCGGGCGTTCCTGGAGAGTAGGAAATGCTTTGGGTTGTTAAAGTCTACAGCGCGTTTATTTTACAGAATAAACCTACGACAGAATATCTCCATCCTCCCCATCACCTCATGTGCAACGCAACGAGGTCCGTCAATGCTCATTTGTGATGCCTGTCCCTACCGCCCCCCTCCATCCCAACTTCTGCGGGTTTTTTTTTCCCCCCCCTTCTTCTTCTCCACTGATAGACTGGATGTGGTGGTGACCCTGAACATGAAAAGCTGCTTTTTCTCATGCAACCCCTTCTACAAAATGCTCATTTGCTGAACTGCCTATGAAAAAAGCTTGACAAAAGTTCAGTTTCTGAAGTGCTGAGATCTCTTATCTACTGTCCTCATCAATCATGTCTTACTCTTTCCATCTCCGGCCTCTCATGGAACTCGGTCAGCTCTTGGCAGCAGAAGGTGTCCTCGTGTCCCGTGCCTGCACAGCACAACACCTGATCCTCCAGTGCTTATGGCAGCGGGGGGACTCAAACCCACAAGGTCATCAGAAAGCACCAGTATGGTAATTACCAAGAGATGAGGGTGAAGAGTGGTTCCAGTGACCGAGTGTCACAGCAGCTCCTCCTGGGACAGAGGTAACTCTCCCTTTTTCT